GAGCATGCTCCTGCTTTGCTTTTGCCCTGCACGAGGGAAGTGTGGTCCCTGGACAGTTTTCCTAGCGCAGGGTTTCCTGCTTCCAAACTGGGTCAGTCCTAGGCCCCCCAGGAAGGCGGGCCACCTCATCTGGACACGGCTTACAGACTACTCCGGCCCAAAGTTCTCAGGGTCCCTGTTGGTGGGGAGGAGCAGCGTTAAAACCTGCACCCGAGAGCCCCACACCACTCCGAACACCGCGTCTCCACGCGCGATCAGGCGCAGCCGGGTCTGAAAAGCTCCCTGAGGGGCTGAGTGCACAGAAGTTACTCGTCCAGGCCACACAGCCATGAAGGAACAAAAGCAGGATTGCCGACTCTGGCGTTCATCCTCCAATTTGCCCGCCTCCCCCACCCGCCACCAGCCCGATAGTCAGGGCGCAGCCCTGGTTCCGGCCTCCGAAGCCAGACGTGGGCTCCCGCCCTGTTGCTGCGCGTCTTCCCGGGCTTTCTGCCAGACTCGAACCATCCGCAGATCCGCAGGGCCTGGCTCCGCTGGGCGGGCGCGGGAGGCCAGAGGAGCCCGGGCAGGCGACCCCCTGGCGGTGAGGAGTCGGCTGTGGTGGAAGGCGCGCTGAGGGCTGCAGAACGCGCTCCCGCAGCAGGGGGCGCCAGAGCCCGCGGCACCTGCAGGGAGGAGGAAGCGGAGCGCTCCGCGGCGCTCACCGAGGACCGCGGCGCCCACATCCTCCGGCCTTTGGGTTTCAGACGGCTTAACATGGACGTGGTCCTCCGCACGAACCTTCAGGCCAGAGGGCGAAAGGCGACCGAGGGCAGTGAGGAGTCCAGGCTCCCACACCGCGAACCCAGGAGGCCTCGGTCCGCCTGTGACACCAGGCCGCAGGCAGCTGAGGAGGGGCTCGCCCAGAGCCCAGGTGGCCAGAGGAGCAAGATGAGGCCGGCTGGGGCGGGGTGGGGAAGGCTGAGGGAGGCCGTGGTGGCGGGGAGCAGGGCCAGCAGGCGAGGGTGCAGGACCTTGCCGCGTGCCAGCTTCTGTCCCTGTCCACTGCGTGCTGGGAACGGTAACGTCAGGGTCCAGTGCAGCGCAGACAGGACGGCAGTCCTGGCCTGACTTTGCCGGCTCTGGGTCTGCTGGCTTAGAAAGTGGGATGAGGGTGACGCTGTGGGTCAGCTTTTTGCAGCAAAAAGGCAGCTCTCTAAGACTTCTTTTCTATGCTCCTTGATCTTTAACCATTTCTCATAGGTCTTCGCTTCTAGACCCTGGGGGGCTCTTTTGGCTGCCTACTGACCTTACTTACCCCTCAGTTGCCTCAAACAAACAGGGGATGCCTGGCCACTCTGCTGCCCTGCATGACTTTCTTAGGGTGATCAAAATATTCTCAGTGTCTCATAGTGTGATCTACCTAATCAAGAAAAGTAATCAAACAGATACCTCTGTGGGATTTAGTTTTTCTATCTTTGCTAAATTTTTTGTAGGAAAAAAATCAGAAAGATACATTTTGTCCCAGTTCACACAAATGAGATTGCTAAGCCAATCTGTCTGGTTAGGATGGGCTGGTCCCAGACTTTCAAGGCTGCTCTGGATCTGATTCTATCATGCACAGTAGTGACAGCAATTGCTGGGAGCACACAGGTTATTGTTGCTCAGCTGCCACGCTGGCACTCTTTTCTGTGTGTTATCTGAAAATCTGAGAAGTGTGTCTCCCATGCCGATAAGATGTTGGAATTGTTGGAACTGTGCAGTCCCCACTAGAGACCTCTACCAGGCCAACATCCATTTGTTCATCAATACCCTGGTTCGTGGTTACCCAGCCAGCTCAATCACTCAGCTGTGCTACTCTACCATCCAATTACCCCTTTGTCACATAGAAGTTGTGAAGTAATAGCGACGTTTCTCCTCTTCTCAACATCAGTACCAAGATGTTCTCTGATCCAGTGGTGTCAAGTTTCATATTCTGGACAGTGACAGCTCTACTGAAGGACAGAAGCTCACGTAGGAACTATGAACTATTCACTGTGTGTGCACATGGGTGCCTGCACACTTACCCTTCTGTGTTAGAAGGAAGTAAACCACAATCTGTGAGGTGGCCGATTAGGATAACAGTTAATAAGTGTTCTTAAAATGCAGTGCCTGGTCCACAATTAAGCACAAGTTTTAATCAGGTCTGAATGGGTCAGCCAAAAGTATACCTGTTTTCCCTCACATCTGTGCATGGATGTCGTGGCCTGGAAGGCTCAGGGGATGTGGTGAAGACCTGGTGTCACTCATGAGAATGAAGCCCAGGTGAGAAGTAGACGTCATTGACAGTCAGGGCCACTAGGAAAAGCTCCAGGGTGTCATGGGGGCAGAGGTTATAAAGTATTATTTTTCCCTTTATATAGATCTTCAACCATCAGAACTACAGATGTTCAAAAGTTGCAGGCTTTGTCCCTTTTCTATCACCCTCGTTCTGTCTTTGAGCGAGAAGACTAATAAGTCAGGAGTTAGGACCCAGGGGTGTGTCTCAGACCTGCAGCACCTGACAGCTGGCTGGAGTTCGCTCAAGTGCACTATGAGGATCACGGAGCTCAGCAAGGCAGTGTGAGCTTACCTCTTCCACCTCTCTCTGCCCAGGGTTGGGAGCTTACTGTACTGGGCTCATTCAGACTGCAAACCACGGAGTTTTCTGTTGGTTAAAAAGGAAGAAACTCTCTTTCTACAGCAGATATCATGATGCAAACTGATATTATGCTGGTGCCTTTTCTCCTCAGCGTCACTCAATCAGGTAAGACAAATTGAGCTCAATTAAACTGGAGTTGCAGAATTATTTAAGCAGAGGAGGCAAAACTAGACTGTGGATCATGTTAGAATGGCAAAAGGTCAAACACAGTTATATCTGAATAACCTTTCAAATGGGACTCAAATGGCTACTTGTATGAAATCTGTGTATTGTTAAAAAATCATTTTTGTGGATTCTGTAAGTTTTATATTTTGGTCATTTTTTGTGTCTTACTCTTTTTTAATCATTATGAGCTTGATAGGAAGAAATAAAAGCAGAGAAGATGTTATGGAGTGCACTGTTTTTTATTCAGAGGATTTTCCAAATATTAGATATAGAAATTAACTACATCAACACTTTTATATCACATTTGCTAATAATTACTATGTCCATGTACAGATATTTGATTTTATCCAATATATTCTATAGACATATATAAATATTTCAATAAATGTGTATATCACAGTTAAATAAAAATATATCAAATGTTTATGAGTATGCATGCATTGTATGACTGCTCTCCAATTGGCAATAGTGGAATTATTGATAAAGAAAGAGGACAAATAAAAAGTGAGAGAGAAAGCAGAAAGGGAGGGCAAGACAAAAAAGACAGAGACTAAAGAGAGAAGTATAGGAGAAAGGGAAAGAGGAAGAAATTATTGAAAAGGTTAGGACACCATGGTTATATGCACCTGCTGGTTTCTGGGGGTTTGGGGGTCCTTTTACTTCTTATGTAACTTAAGAACAGAAAAACTGTTCTCATGGAACCTAAAGCCATGTAAAGCTAGGAGCTAGATGGTAAGAAGTGTTGTTCTGTAAACAATTTGTATTTATTTCTCAGTAGTGTTTTTACCACATCCATTTATTACAAGTTTCAAATGGGGAGGCTGAAGCACTGACATAGATTTACCCACATCCAGAAATAAACTGTGGACCGTGAGGCACTTCTGAACATTACCCTCATGTCAAAAACAACCTTTCTTACAGCAGAGACTCTGCAAAACAGTCATTTCTAAGTGCAGAGGGCATCAAACACACATCCAAATATCAGTAGTTTTGTCTGAAAAGTCTTAAATACAGTCTGTTAACCAGAAAAACAAGAATCAACATTTGTATGTTTTAGCATACTATTAATATTGGATGTTTTTCTGCCTTCTTTCGTCAGGATATTCTTTTTATTATGAACGAATTGATACTTTTCCCAGGAAAAGCCTGTCTAGGCTGAGTGAGGGTAATCAGCATAAGTGCTCTAGGCTCACATCATTTTATGGTTTGTGTCTGCATGTCCCCCTAAATCCTCATGTAGTCATGGAGGGGGGCTTCTAGGGTTTGTGATTGATCCATGACCCAATGCTGGGGTTATGGGTGTGAGTGCTACACCTGCCCTGGGGTGGGTAGTTTACATACAATGTAAGGGAGGGAAAGAGGCTGCTTGCTGCCATTCTTCCCTTTTGTACTTGTTGCCTTTCCTATCTTCTGCCCCCATGAACATTTGCCCTCTGCCATGTGCTACTCTGCCTTGGAGCCAGCCAAGTATGGACTGAAACCTCCACAAACTGTGAGCTAAGTAAACTTTTCTTTCCTGAATTTTGGGCATCAGGTATTTTGTCTCAGCAGTGAGAGAAAAGTACCCAAGACAATCATCCTCCATGCACAGTGAGGGTCCTTAAGGGAATGGGAACTGGAGGAGAGCCTGGGACTTGCTCCCCACTGTTTGGGGATGTATTCTGAGGTATATGTGTCTCTCGTGGAACTGTGATAGCTTTAATAAGCTACAGTAAATCTCACCTGCATGACTGTATCTAGACCCACTAGAGTACACCTTTCCTAAGTCACTTAACCTTGCTACTCATTGATCTTTTAATTGCACAAAACTACTTTTTCATATAATGAGGGCAACCTTTTTATTTTTATATTTCAGGCTTTAGTAAAAAGGAATAATTGTGTATGACTACGTGACATCTCTGATCTTGCTAATTCATATGTTGAGGGTTTGTGTCTATTCCCAGAAAATAGAATTGTAACTTATTCATGATAATGTCCACTTATTCATTTAGTAAAAGTCTAGTGAGCATAGAGAGAAACCTTTGTGGGCTCAGAAGGAATCCCACACCTGGTGACTCATGATGTTCACAGCATTCACTACCCTGATCCCTTCATCAAGGTGAATGACACTATCCAGAGTGGTTTGGACCCTGGCAAGATTTCTGATTTTATTAAGTTTGACACTAATAACCTGGATATGGTGACTGGAGGTGCCAACTTGGGAAAGATTGGTGTGATCACCAACAGGGAGAGACATCCTGGCTCTTTTGATGTGGTTCATGTGAAAGATACCAGTGGTAACAGCTTTGCCACCTGGATTTCCAACATTTTCTGTTATTAACAAAGACAACAAACCATGGATTTATTTTTGCTGGGGCAGGGGTATCAATCTCACCATTGCTGAAGAGAGATAAGAGGCTGGCGGCCAGCAAACCAGTGGATGAAATAGTCTCTAGGTGATATGAGGAGGAAAGTCATCTGTACTCAAATAATACAGTATGATGACATGCAAAAAAGTCATTATAATAACCTGTCATGCTATGAGAATTCATTAAACATTTACTATTTGATTTCACCCTGTGGGCTGGCTGCACATATTCATGGAAGAAGCCACTATGTTTGTATCATGATTTTTTGAATGGAATGTAAAACCAAAACATACCAAGAACAAAAAAAAAAGTCACACAATCATCCTTGCTGAGGTTTGAAATTCCTTAGTCATTTCTGTTCTCTCCTGGCTGAAGATAAGCAATGATATCTTCCATAAAATCATAAATAATCGTGGGTAGTTTCATTTATTGTCTTATCAATTATTTACATCTAGGTGTGAATTTGTCAAAATTTTGCTTGCAAGTAGATGTTGATCTGGGAGTGAGAAGAGAGCCAAGGGTCTGAGAGCCTGATGAAAAGCAAATTGATCAAGAAGGAAGAGCCCAGAAGGTTAAATCCTAGGTTCCACAGGAAAACTTCCGTATTGAGCTGGCAGTGAGCACTCATGTAAACCCCTCCCAATTGCACTCACTGAGGTGAATAGCACTCTAATCTCCCCACAGGAGTGGCTCTTCTAACCCCTTGATTTTGGCAGCTACCTACCTTCATCTCTGCTGGATAAATAGCAGCCCTGCATGAAGAGCTCTCCCATGAATGGCAGTCTTGAATATAGGCCCTCCTTTGTATCTTCAAGTGTCAGGCATTAGTGGCCACACTTTGTAGCTGTGCCATGAACTTCAAGACCTTCAACACAGGACAAGTGAGCTGCTGGAGGTCTTAGCAATCACCCCACCCAATTTTTATTGGGAAAGGTCAGATGTCTTGCTTAAAATCATGAATCTTGGAAATAGGAACAGAACTCATTTCTCTAAGTCTAGTGTCTCTGAATGTTAAATAAATATTTGTTTGTTTCCTGTTGTAACATGTAACAAGTTTGGTGAGGAACTCTGTGTCCTGATCTGAACCAAGAGCAGCATGCTTCCATGGAGCCTGAGCTCTGTGGGCAGGAAATAAATAGCCTGGGCAGAGCAGAACACCCTGTCTCCCTGTGGCTCACAGTGCTCTCTGGCCCTTTCCAGTCCTCTCTCTTCTTGCTCTCTGCACTTGGATCTGACTGTCTGGGCCCAAAGGAAATATTTTGACTAAGAAAAATAGACAAAGATTAAGCAAGGAGAAGAGGAAGAGGAGAGGAAAGGGAAGAACATGGATTGAGGTGAGCAACAAAATTCTTGCTTTGCTAGAGATGGTAAAGAGCTCCTTTAGGCAGCAAACACCCTTGCTGGATGAAATGTGCATTTTGGACAGTGTTGTGTGGAGCAGGACTCAAAACAAGCGATGTAGGGAGACCATGTTTAACTTGAAGCCGGAATGTGCCCTCCTAGTGGTTGACCCCCACATAAATGACTCCAGAATGGTGCCCCACTAAAGAGACCCCGAGCAGAGCCCTGTGCACCAGATGGCAGCTACAGCAAGAGCACAATTGAGTGGGCTAAAAGCCCACAACACCACCACTGAGTACTTTCCTAAGACCAAACAAATGTAACTGCAACTTGGTTTTAAAAATCTTCCATGCAGTATACTGTTGTAAAAATAATGCTTTTATAACAAAATACCTGAAGCAATCAACAGGTAAAGAGGATCACAGTTTTGGAGTTTGCAGTCCATGGCCAATTGACTTTATTGCTTTGAGGTCCCCAGCAAGGCAGCACATCATGGGAGGAGTGCCTGACAGAGCAAAGTGACTTCCTTCACAAGCCAGGGGGCAAGCAGGAAGAAGCACAGCCAGGGTCCCACAGTTCCTTTTGTGCACATGCTGGACTTCCTGCCAGGTTCTGCTTCTTGAAGATTCTATTTCCTCCCAGTAGCATCACATTTTGAGGACCAAGCCTTTAGCACATGTGTCTTGGGGGAGCACTCAAGTCCCAAACAACAGCAAAGTGTTTTGAAAAACACAATGTTAGCAAGAAAACAGCAATAAAAAGAATATGTGTAAATAGACTTGAGTTTTTGGAAGAAGTTTTGTATAGTAAGAAACCACAGCAGAGGTAACAGTTTCACTCAGACTGGAAACAATTTTGTTTTTTTGGTTTTTCTCCGGTACCGGGAACCGAACTCATGACCTTGTGCTTGCCAGGCAGGCGCTTTTGCTGCTGAGCTAAATCCCCAGCCCCTGGAAACAATTTTGGATGGGTGGAAAGATGACTGAGGTAGTACTCAGAAGACCATACCCAGCACTGAGTACAGTGACCCTGGGGAAGTCATGTACCCCGAATGCTGCAGTGCCTTTACTTGTAAAATGAGAGGCTCAGATGGCATTGGAGGTCCTTTCCCACTTGTCTTGGCCTCTGATCATTTCACTTTTCTTTCCTCCTTCATTGATGTTGAACATGGGAGCTCCCAACTTCCTAAAGGGATCATCCCTGCCCCTCAAGGCTCTTGCCTCTAAGAGAACTTAGCTCTTCGTTTGTCAGTGGATCACCGAGATGAGCCTTAGAACGTTGGTTTTGTCCAACTGATTTATTATGTATTTATTTTTATTTTAAAGACAATAAAAATGATAAAAGTGATACAGAAATTCATAAAAAGATGACTGGCAGTTAACAATGGTTGTTACATTGCATGTTGTTATCTTCAAAGTAGTAGCTCAGATTATAAGATATAGGCATGCAAAATTGATCAAACAATATAAGCACTAACTTCTCTTTTCAATGAACTAATAGAAATTAGTAGTACAATTAGTAGTACAATTATCTTAGCTACATTGTGTTATATATATATATATATATATATATATATATATATATGTATGTATATATATTCCTTTCCCATTTTTCTCATTTCCCCATCCCAGTTGTTTTTTCTTTTTGAACAGTTTCTTTCCCTTTCACAATATCTATTATACCTTTTTGATCTTATTTACTCTTTCAGTTTCTTGATCTAGGACACA